CCCCATGTGGTGCAAACCATTTACATGCTAATAATTAAAAGCTGGTGATCTGTATTCAATCAGAAGGTCTGCTTCCAAAACCATCCACTGCAAACCCTATAGAATACTGTTCCACTCTGATCCATGAATGTTCAAGAGTATAAATCAACTCAGCAGTAACTGGTTTGGGGAGGTTTTGTTTGCTCCCCCCCCACACACACACACACACACACTTTTTTTGTGTGTGTATGCCTGTATGATTCCTATTGCATTATTTAAAAAAAATTCTACCTATAGGTAGAATAAGCCTGGAAGTTTAATAAAATATGTTCATTATAGCCCTGAATGCAAATGTCTTCTTTTCTAGTCTTTTAAATTATGGTTCATCTAGTAAGATATTTCTTTGGGAGTAGAGACTTACAGCTTCATTTTTTGTTTTGACTCCTTTTAACTGTTCAACATCACTGGGTCCTAGAGGAAAGGAATGAAAGGTCAGGGGAGAGACAGCAGATGAACTTAGGGAGCATTATGAGAGAAATCACCAGGATATGCTGCTGGTCTGAGTGATTGCCACCTTAAGTATATCCTAAGATATACTCATCAATATTTTGAACCTCCTGTGTATTGGTGGTGTGTGAGGGCTGAAAACTGAGATTGGTGGGTCTAATGGGGATTTCCAATCCAATTCACTGATGTCACATTTCCTTTCAAGATTCTGTCATCATTTTTCGTACTTTTCCAAAAGTAATGAGTCAAGAGAAAGCATCAGTAGCAGGATTCTTATTTCCAGTGTCATTTTGGTTCTTCTACATTTAGAATTAACCCTATTTGACAATTTTGAGGTCAGCTAGCAAATTTTTTTTTATTCTGAATAGATTACTTTTATACAAAAAAAAATTAACTTCTTGTTGTTGTCGTGTACCGTAGTGTTGGAACCAACCCATCGTTGACCCTTCGGGGGGTTTTGAGAGGCAGTTAATCGCCTGGAAGGAGATTTCCCAACCTTCTCCTGCAGAGCAGCTGATGGCCTCGAACCATGTGCCTTCAGGATTGCAGCGCAGCTTCTTGCCACCAGGCCACCAGAGCTCCCTAACTTTTCAATTTATCTCTTAATTACTCAAGGAGTTAAGTTGACATAGTCATGTTTAGATGCTAGGAGGAAAGGTCACTAATCTCTAGCAGTTCAAGTCCACCAGCACCTCCATGTGCTAACAATTCATATTTTACAGTCTTGGGAATCCAGTGGAGGACTACTGTCAGAATCGACTCAATGATACTGAGTTGGAGTTTAAATAATTATTCATCCCTAAAAGCCAAAGCAAGCAAGTTGTTGTTGAAAGAACTCAGATTGATTAGTGGCAACCGAGTGTGTTTTAGAGTAGGTCTTGCTTCAGACTTAATCTTTTCAGTTATTACAGTCTTTCCAAAGTAGAACACTATGTTTTCCCCCCTATCTCAAGTATGCCTTTATTGTGCCATATTGTTGTGTTGAATAATAAAAATCTATGATCAACTGATTCTTTACAAGGTGATGAAATCATTTAAGTGGGGACATGAAAGTCTCTTTAAAAATGGTGTTGGCAAAATTGGAAAACTATCTGCAGAAAACTCAAGCAAGACCCACACTTCACACTATACACAACAACCAACTCAAAGTGGATCCAAGGACCTAGGACTAAAACCAAGGACTATAAACCTCTCAGAGAAAAGCTTGGAAGAACTCTAAAAGCCCTAATTTACAACATGAACAGTCTTCCAAGCATCCTGAAAAAACCTGCAACCAGGAGAGGATAAAATAGATGAATGGGGCCTTGTAAGAATCAAATCCCTATGCACATCAAAAAACTTTTGCAACAGGGTAAAAATGAAAGCCACAGACTGGGGGAAAAATATTTGGTAAAGACATGTCTGATAAGAGACTTAAATCTAGAATTTATAAGAATATTTTAATACCACAACAAGATAAACAACACATTTGCAAAATGGGCACAAGATATGAACAGACACTTCACCAAAGAGGACATTCAGATGGCAAACAAACCTGAAGAAATGTTCAAAATCCCTAGCTCTAAGAGAGATGCAAATCTAAACACCTCTGAGTATAATCTCACTTCAGTAACAATAGCAAAGTTCAGCAGCACAGCAGACAACTAATGCTGGGAAGGTTGTGGAGAAATTGGAACCCCTAGTCACTGTTGGCGGGGGTGTATAGTGGTGCAACCACTCTGGAAGGCAGTATGACGCTTTCTCAAAAAGTTGGAAATAGAAATACCATTTCACCCAACACTTGCACAACTGGGAATATACCCTAAAGAAACCAGAACTACCACCCAAACAGATATCTGCACACCAATGTTTATTGCTTCTTTGTTCACAATAGCAAAGAGAACAACTCAAGTGCCCGTCAACAAATGAATAGCGAGAGAAGTATATTCACATAATGGAATACTACACAGCCCTGAAAAACTAGGAACTCATGAAATACTATACAAAATGAGTGACCCTGGAGGACATTATGCTGAGTGAAATATCTCGGTCACAGAAAGACAAACATTAAATAATGCTACTGTTATAAAACAGGACTGACATGGGGAGTTGGGGGAAACTAAAAAAAAAACACTAAAACTAAAAAAAAAAAGAAGAAGAAGAGATAAATAAGGAACAAATGAGGCAAAGAACTGTTGAAAAGAAATGGATGATTAGATATTACTTGCTTGACAGCCATCCACAATAAGAGCTGCCTAGCAAAATGAACAGGGTGGGGTGGGGGAAAATTGTTCAAAAAATGAATTAATTTTTTAGAGAAAAGCTCATTTAAGGTTAGGGTAGGGAGAAAAATGTGCAAAGATGAATGAAGGGAAATCCAAGTTTTCTGTAAACTTTTACTAAAATCACAATAATAAATTATTTTTTTTTTAAAAAAAAAGCCTAGAAAGAGAGCTGAGACTTATTGAGAAAAAGAAATGAATATTCAAAGGGCCCGGGTAGCTCAGTCCCAAATGAATATTCATATGGAAAAGACTTTCAGTCCTGTCCAGTGAAAATGGTTATGTTGTATCTAGAGAAGAAAATTGTTTTTCCTTTTTAAAATTGTAAGAGGGGGGAAATACATCACGGCAAAAATTAAGCTAGATTTCATCATGGCAGAATGCCTGAGTAATAAGCAAGATAATGGTTAAAGATAATTTGGGAAGATGAAGCACCAGATCTGTAGGATGGATATGCTCAAACCCAAAGTGGTTTTGACAACCAGTATCTCTTCTGATTGATCAAAGTGCATACCATCCATAGTGGGTGGTCTCTGCTTTTAACATCAGCTCTGGTTTGTAGAACCATTCTTGGTAAATGGCAAGACCTTAATTAAGCATTCATGTTATAATCACTACCATTACATCCCATTATTTTCAAGGATTGGGTTGTTGAGAAGTCATTCAGATAATTTTTAAGTAAGTAGAGTTAGTATGACAAAAGCCTTTGGTGCACATGTTTTATAAGGAGATGGAGAAAGCTTGAAGTAGTGTGATGGATGACTCATTTTTCTGTGGCCTTTCTAGCACTGGTTTTGTGAAGCTGATTAAATGATATGGTGGTTAAGTGCCAGTGAAGAGACTCCAGCTCACAGTCACTCTGTGTTCAACAGAATAAAACAATTTTTCTGCAGAAGAGGAGCAGAGGAAGTTCCCCCAGCCAGCTCTCTAGTTTCCTAATCCAGTACTACCCAAAATGTCGAGAGGCTATTACACTTCTCACAGGGATTCCCAGCTCATTTTACACTTTTTCTGATGAACAGTTGCTTCATTTAGTTTAAGCAAAGAAAGCTATAATCTGAAACAATACTCTGTTTTCTGTTTTTTCCCAGTTGGCTGTCTAGCCATTTTAGTTCTAAGCATTTGTTACTTCATTACTTATAACTAAATGTGCTAAAATTTTACTTCAGAGATGCTTTGACAAGTAGAGGATTGTTTAGTAAATATTTTTAATCCCTGACTATCTTGCCTGACTGTATATGGTTTTTTTAAATGGAGCTGACATTCTCCATCTCTTTGGTGCAATCATCTGTGATGTTAACAACATTCTGAGCTGCTAAGGGAAAGAGAAGTGGTTTGAATCTAACATTTGCCCCTTGGAAGAAAGATGGGCAGTCTTCTCCAATAACGATTAACCTTGGAAACCCAATCAAAGGTCCCTATAAATCAGAACCGACTGGATGCCAGTGGGTTTTATTGCAACTTGAGAAAGCCTCGTGGCACAAAGGTTAAACACTGGGCTGCTAGAAGAAGGGTCAGTGGTTTGAGTCTACCAGCTTTTATGAAGGAGAAAGATAAGACAGTATTTAAAAGATTCCAAACCCACTTGCTGTAGAATCAATTCTAGTTCGTAGTTACCCTGTACAATAGACTAGAACTATATATAAGACATCTAAACCTTTAAGGCTGCCTCATTTTTATTCTGTGGAGTACGTGATAAGTTATGATCCCGGGATTTGGTTCGTTGCCAAATTCTTTAACCACTGTGCTACCAAGACTGAAGATTACAGCCTGGGAAATGTGTAGAGGAGTTCTACTCTGTCCTGTGGAGTTGCTCCGAGTTGACATTGCTTCAGTGGGAATGAGTTTTGATTTTTTGAGGAGTTGAATTTCTGAATGGTGTACGCTATATCCACATAGCTTCAAAGAGACTAGTTAAAGTTTGGAGGAGGGACAGAGTTTAGAGTGGGAGTGATTGATCAATGCCTTTATCTCTGTTTCACTTCAGACTGCTTGAATCTAACCTGTCATAGAGACTTGACCTCCCAAGTGATTTGGTTCCTATGGAGGCAGCTTCCAGGATTTGGTTCATTCCTGGATTAATCTGAATTAGAGACTGGTCAGTCCTGGAATTCAGACTGAAATGATTATCCTCTTTATCTTTCTGGATTTACCTGCACCTAGATAGACCCTTGAAGAAATAAGAGAGTCATGACATTAATCCAGAAATCTGACTTATTCCACTGTTTATATCTGGGTTTATTTCTTTTTCAGATGGGTGAGTCAAGTGATGATATAGACCAAATGTTCAGCAGTTTGCTGGGAGAGATGGATCTTCTAACCCAGGTAAACTCTCATTCTTAACCTTTAAATTAGAAAAATATATGGCTGTAGAATTTTATTTTAATATGGTGGATTATCTGAATGAACTGTTTCATACATATATACACACATACCAAAAGAAAAAACCACAACTGAGGATATAATCTATTTGTGATTCAGTTATGGAAGTTAGGGAAAAGAAAGCCCTTTTCTGATTATACCATTCTGTGTTCAGTTAATTCAATATACTGGCCACACGTGTGTTCTATTATGGTTTTACTCATGCTCATCATAGCCAAACCTTTGGCTCATAAAGCAATTTTCTTCAGGTGTATCTCTACTACTCCTCACCAATTTCTCCCAGTTTACCCATATGAAAACTAGCTATGACAATCACATGATCTTTGGCAAAGGTTTGTTACCAACTTTTGAGGAATGGCTATGTTTTAAAACATAAAGTGGGAATTATTTCAGCCTCATGAATAAACCATAAGAACCTGCTTCCCTCAAAGTAACATGAAGCCTGCTGACTCAGACATGAATATTGCCGGGCATACTGGAACCCAGGGCTGCCAACCCAGAGACCACTGACCCATGTTATTAGCACATGTTTCACAAAGTCATATAAACTTTGTTGTTATGTGACACCAAGTTGGAACCAGACTCTCCAGCTGACCCTCCAGTAGGTCTTCAGAGACTATAATTCAAATGAGAAGAGATTTCTCATTTTTCTTTTGAAGAGCTGCTGGTGGATTTGAACTGCTTGTCTTTGTGTTGGCAGTGCAACTCCTTATCCACTAGGCTCCCAGAGCTCCATGCATGAACATTATTAGTGTGTTTTATAGCCTTGTCATAAATGCTTTTTTATTTTATTCCGAAAATAGAAGGGAGCTCTGGTGGCCTCATAGGGAGCTCTGGTGGCCTAGTGGCAAGAAGCTGCCGTTCAAATCCACCAGATGCTCTGCTGAAGAAGGAGAGGCAATCTCCTCCTGTACCAGTCAGATCCAGTTTGACAGTACACACAAAAAATAATAAAATAAAATTTTGAAAAATTTTTTAAAAAAGAAAATAGAGCTCATCCGTTTCTATATAAAATATTGATGAAAGAATAATATTCCTAAATGAGATAAGGACTTTTTGTTTCTTCCTACATCTTCCCTTTGATTGTTTCCATTAATCCTTCCATCCTATCCTTTCCTGCTTTCTAAATTGTATCCCCAGGCAGATGCTGCCCTTTTGATCTTATGTGGTTGATTGTTGTAAGGAGTGAATACTTCCCTGATATTACTGTTTAATCTTACAGACTTGTTCTGGTATTGGCTGAAAGCTGAGATGCAGAGCAGACAGGGTCTCCCTAGAAGTTTTCTATAAAAATAAATGGAGTATGCTGTGCTGGAGGAGGAAGGACAATCTCCTCCTGTACCTGTCAGATCGGATTTGACGGTACACACACACACAAAAAATAATAAAATAAAAATTTTTAAAAATGGAGTATTTATCACTATTGTCTATATTTTGAAAAATATTTATTATAGGAAAAAGATATGAAATTTAGTTATCACCTACTTTATAGTTGTTGTTGTTGTTAAGTGCTGTCGAGTCGCAGGCGACTCATAGCGACCCTGTGAAGGAGAGTCCTCGACGCTTGGGTGCCTTTCATCCTCTCTCCAGGTTCATAGGGTTTCTGGAGGCAAGCTATTATGGAAGTGGATGCCACTCCTCCTTCCACGACTTTATAGTATTGATAAAATTTTTAAAATTTGCGTTCGATGAAAGATGAGAGATCAAATGTGAGATACTAGGTTTACATGGAATAGGTGCTGATTAAAATGAATGTGAGCACATTTCTATAGATAAGAGGTCTGTTCCTTTTTCTCTATGAAGAGGAAGGTTTAAATAGATATTTATGGTCTTTCTGTGCCCATTTACTCATTTCTGCCACCATTTAGAGGGATGATGGCCCTGCTTGTTCAGAATCTGGAATTTTCATAGGACCACAGTTAAGTATTCTTGTTATAACTCAAAAGTGAGAAAGAGGCCTACTTCCAGACCCTTGGACCTCCTTTCCTAAGACTCTTTTGATGTTTTGTCTTTTCATTGTTGTGTTCAAATGAGCATAGTCATAGGTTTGTTGTTGTTGTTGTTGTTATTGTTCTATACCATCAAGTCGGAACCAACTCATAATATACCTTCCAGTGAGTTTTCTGAGGCAATAAATTTTACATGAGGAGATTGCCCATCTTTCTCCCGCAGAGCAGCTGGTGGATTTGCATTGCATGCCCTTGGATTGGCAGTCCAACTCCTTAAGGAGCTGGAGCCAAAAGATTTCAGGGCAAGGAAAATATCTACTTTGCCTTTGGGTTTAGAATCAGTTCTTCATTTTGGCCATTAGAGACTTCCCTTTGAGATTGTAGGACATTAAAAACAAACAATTTTTATTCTTATTTGTGAATTTTGTTCCTGTTCTGTTTTTTATTTGAGGATGTGTTGGAATGGGTAGACATGCCCAAGCTTTTTAATTTTCCCAAATAAGAGAAAATGAAAGAAGACTAACCTGTAATTAAGCATGTGATTTTAAATTGTTATTTTGAAATAATGTTAGCTTACTAAAGTTAAAAGAAAAAAATTACATTTCCTATCTCTTTTACTGTTAGACTTTTAATTTATTAACATATTATTTCATTTTTGTAATATAAAAGTCCTTCTGTGTCTCTCTGTGTGTGAGTGTGTGTGTGTGTGTGTGTGTGTGTGTGTGTGTGTGCCATACAAATGCATTTCCTGAAAAATTGCCAGTGAATTTACCAGTAAATAAACATGGAACATTTTAATATAAAATCATTGCAAGCCAGCACTGAAATAATTTTAAAACAGAAATTAATTTAAATTATTTATTAAGATGGTTATGATTCAAGAGGTAAGGTGTTTCTTTTAAGCATTTCTCTTTATTATAATTTCAGTGAAAGTTTCCAGAAAGGTTGGATCCTCATTCATTCACTAATGCACATTTTCTTCTTTTCACCTCCTCCTGCCTTTGCCCCTAGTTCACCTTGTCATTTATTTCTTGTTCCAGATTGTTAATTTTCATGCATATAGTGCCTAATCATACATTCCTTCTAGACAGTCCTTTTCTTCATCTGAACTAGTGTACTGTTCATTATCTACCCACTATTTCCCCCACCCAACCTCCAACCCCATGTCAATCCAATTTTTTTTGTCAATCTTATTTTATAACAACAAGCTTATGCCGTATTTGTCCATTTATGACTGAGATATTTCACTCAGCATGTCTTCAAAACTCATCTATGTTGTGTAGTATTTTACAAGTTAGTTACTTTTTAATACTGCATAATATTCCATTTTCTAAATGTACTACAATTTTTCTATCTACTCATTTTATGACAGACTCTTTTAAACATTTTTAAAAGAAATCAGCACACAATATAATACTATTGTATTATACTAAAAAAACAAAATACAGTTCTAGAATTCATTTTTAATTGATTATAGCTAGAAAATAGTAATCCAGATATTTTCTTAAAATATTAAATATAATTTATGCATACTAGAACATTGACTTCTACATAGTTTTGGAATATGAGCCCCTCAGATTAAAAGGCATTCAAAATATGACTGAGGAAAAGCTGCCTCCTCAAAGCAGAACTGATGCTAATGACACAAATGGAGTAAAGCTTTTGAGATCTTCATGTGCTGATGTGACATAGTGCAACATGGAAAGAAAAAGCTGCAAATGTCCATTAATAATTGGAAGGTAAAATGTAATAAGTAGGAATCTTGAAAAATTGGACGTTATGAAAAATTAAATGGAACTCTTGAAGATCAGCATCCAAAGAATTAGTGAGCTGAAGTGGACCAGTATTAGCCTTTTTTAATTAGGCAAACATATGGTCAGCTCTTCCAGGAATGACACATTGAAGCGAAAAAACATTGCATTCATTGTCAAGAACATTTCAAGTTCAATGTTGATGTACAATGTTACAAGTGGTAAATATCCATATCTCTGCAAAGAAGACCACTTTATATGATTATTAATCAAATTTACACACCAGCCACTGATGCCAAATGTAAAGAAACTGAAGATTTTTGCCAACTTCTGCAGTCTGAAATTGATCAAATATGCAACCAAAATGCATATATAATTGCGGTTAATTTGACTGTGAAAGTTGAAAGCAAAGGATTGGGAGTTAGAAAATATGCCCTTGGTAATAGAAATGATAAATGTTAATGAATAATAAGATTTTTCAAAATCAATAGCTTATTCATTACTAATATATTTTTTCTGTGGGACTTTGCTAGATGGAATATATAAGGATTGACCAAATAGAGCCATGGATAACACATATATAGGAAAGATCACAGAGAACATCTGTATCATCGGTCAAAACCAGGCCAGGAGCTGAGGAACAGTCAGTCAGTAATTCATTTGCAAGTTGAAGTTCAAGCTGAAGAAAATATAAATAAGTTCACAAGAGACAAAATACCACCTTGAGAGTATCCCACTGAATTTAGAGACTATTTCAAGAATAGATACAACACTTAGAATCCTAATGACTGGAGACCAGGAAACTGTGAGATGGCATCAGGGACATTATAAATGAAGAAAGCAAATGGTCATTAAAATGTAGGAGGGCAGGGAAAGACCAAATGAATGTCAGTGGAGACTGAAATGTTCTCTTTATTACAGAGTAGCTAGAGCAACAGAAAAAAATGATAAAGTAAAACAAATGTAGAAGATTCCAAAGGGCAGCTTTAGAAAACAATATAAAATGTTAGCATGAAATTGCAAAGTCCTGGAAGTAGAAAATATATAGAGAATAACATTTTACATTTTTTTTAAAGCTAACAATGCTGAAGAACAAAAGATCAAGCTTGCATTTCAATAGTAAAGAATTCTATGGGCAAAATTATGAATAATTGAATAATGTAATTAACATCAAAAGAAGATGGAAGAAATAGAGTCATTGTTCCAAAAGCATTTGGTGCACATCCAACCATTTCAGGAGGTC